TGACAACTGTCTCCATGTCATTCAAAACAGAAGCTTATCTTGGAGTGGTCATGGAGCCACCAGGACCTAGGGATTAGTATGCATCCACTCAGGGCTTTAGAGCAGCAGGTGGCAACAGAAGGGGACAGGGCAGTCAGCCTGAGTGGCTGCTTTTCAGTCTCTCCTTATGAATGGGACAAAACCACTCCTGCAGGCCCTCCAGCATCCCCAGTCCCTTTGCTCAAACTTCCGACTTCATTTCCCAGGCTCTAGCCTTCCTCCTTCCTTCCCAGTCTCCTGTTCCCTCTAGTAGACACCTGGGTGGGCACAACTGAAGGTGGTGACATCCAGAAGGCGTGAGTCGTGTGTGCTTGGACTTTAAGCCTCCTCACTTCCCCACTTGCTCCTGAGCTCTGTAGGTGAGTGAGCAGGTCAGCGAGTCAGCGGATGTGAAGGCCTTTCCACTGTGAATTCTAGCTCTGGCCTTGGGACCAGCTCTGTGCACTGTTTACCCTTTCCTTCTCAACAGAAGCACGTCTGCATGACTCAGGGACTCCTTTCTGAATTTCTGTATTTCTTATTGTCCTAACCAACAGCTAAGAGCACTGACTCCCAAGGCCAGTTCCAATCAAGTGAAAACTGGGTGGAGTCACTTGATATTGCTAAGCCTCATCTGTGTAAAGGAGACAATAATAGTACTTCAGAATTTGCTTTAGAATTAAATGGAAACAAATGGATGGAAAACATTTGCCATCAATTTGCATCAGAATTTCAGCGAGGCCACCACCATCTCTGTTCTCGATGAAGAGCAGGGTGTGGTTACCTGCAATGGTAAGCCAAGGTGGGAATTTGGTTTTGTTGAAATTAAACCAGTAAAGGATAAGTGGAATGATCACCAGCTTATACAACACGAGGTTTCCTTACAGGTTCTTATGGTTTGGGTGTGAGGTGTCCCTGGAAAGCTCATGTGTGAGACAGTGCACCGATGTTCAGAGGTGAAATGATTGGGTTACGAGAGTCGTGACCTAATCAGGAGATTGCTCCACAGTGGTAACTGTAGGAAGTAGGGCATGGCTGGAGGCGGTAAGTCCCTGGGGGTGTCCCAACGCACACACTGGGGGATTAGTGTCATCCTGGGGGATTATATTATCCCTGGCTTCTGGCACCCAAGCTCTCTCTCAGCTTCCTGGCTGAGAGCTTTCCTCTGCCAGGTCCTTCTGCCATGATGCTCTTGCTCACCTGAGACAAAGAGCTAGAAACTGTGGGTCAAAATAACCCTCTTCTCCTGTAAGTTGTTCTTGTTGGGGGAATAATGGTCACGGGGATACAAAGTGGACACTCACACTTCTAGAATAAAAGGTATTTCTAATATAAAATTCACTCAGCTCCTACTCATAGTATTTTACGAGATTTCTAGTCACTGTTCATAGCTGTCGCTAGATTATGGCTGGTGGAATGAGTGAGGTGACCATGCTATGTAACTGATTTCTAATGATGCATTAAGGAAGTCAGAATGGATTTGTCACAGACTTCAAGCTAATGGGTCAGTTTCTGATAAGCACCTTTTATTTAGTTCATTTTAATTATAGCAGACCAAAAAATTCTTGATTATAGAAAATCACAAGGTCATATATAAATTACCAGCCCAGTGACCTCATCACTCACCAAGAGTGACAGAGAACAGGGATGAACAGGGGAAAATAATGCTGTCATCTGGTCACAGCCCCAGCTACAGACAGGAACCCTCCACAGCAATAGAGGGAGCTCCTCCTCGTGGTCCACAGAGTGGGGGAGAGGTGCTCATATTATATAAAGGAAGGTGTTTGCTCCTTAAGCAAATGATTTCCTTCTCAGCAGTTGTTGTGGGTGGTATAGGGTTCTTTTTGTGATTTAAAAAATAATGTCAGATTTATAGCAAAGTCGCAAGAGGACTATAAAGAACTCTTGTATAGCCTCTTTATCCAGATTCCCCACCTTACACAATTTATCATGTTTGCTATCAATCAACGGGTCAGAAACTGCAGTCCATCGGCCAAGACTGGTCTGCTGCCTGTTTTTGTATAGTCTGGAAACTAAGAATGGCTTTTCCATTTTTAAATGATAAAAAAATGCAATTTTTAGGACACATTCTATAAAATTTGTATTTTAGTGTGTCCAGACCATGTTTTACAGGAACACTGCTGGGACTGTTTGCTTCTGTAGTGTCTAGTGGCTGCTTTGGTGCTACTGCAAGAGGGTTAAGTACTTTTTATCTAATCTTCTGCAGAACAAGCTCAGTGGCCCCCTCTCTATGACCACGTGCTCATCTTGAGCCCTCCAATACTGATCCAACACACACACTCATTCTCTCTCCTTTCCCCATATTCTTCATTCACATTCATCCTTCTGTTCTCCATATTTTTAACTCCTTTCTGACAGCGAGGAGCTTGGCTCCCATCAATGCATTTACTTATTTTCTGCATTATAGAACACACTCAGGAGTCATTTCAGGATTGCTAAGCAGCAAAACAATAATAAAAAATAAAGCAAACAAACCGAATCCCACTTCAAACCTTCCCTTTCGACTTCTCTATTTGTTTACAGTTTTTTTTTTCTTTAGTCAAAATACTATTTTCAAAATTTACTGGGGTAGCTTCTCTTTCCCCCCTTTCCTCAGTATGCTTATATCCATTTGAAACACAGCTATCTGCTTCTGTTTGTATTACACTTTAGGTTTTTTTCCTCCATTCTTACTGATTTCTATTATTTAAAAATTGCTATTGAGCATGTAAAACATGAACAATTCAGGAGGCAAAATGACCCAGGAAGGTGTGTTCAGATGAGAGTTCGATCCTCCCAGAACTCCTTGCTGATTCCCACCCCCTCATCACTTCTACCTATCCCACCTGTCCCTCTGTAGGTCTGCTCTTCATTACTCCTGGTAGTGCCCTTCTGTTTTATTTTGCAATAAAGAAGCAGATATGATGCCTATTTTAAAAGTTCCCACTTTTCTTTTACAACAGATAGCATACCACAGTGATTCTCTTTAGACTTTTGTTGTTTCAGCTTACAGCTTGTTGTGCTGGAAATAACTTCATACCATTGCACAGAAAGCATCTTTATTCTTTTTTACAGCTGCCTAATATTCCAGCAAATGGATGTACCATCATATATTTCACCACTCTCTTATGTTTGGGCATGTTTTCAAGACTTTTCAATTACTGTCATTAACACTGCATGGAATAACCTTGAGCATATCTATATTTGTATGCTTGGAAGTTTTATCTTTAAGGTCAATTCCAGCTTATACCATTTTCCCACCCTGGTGGCAATTTTTGATATTACTTTCCATATGCTTAGCAATTGCATTTTTTTCAAAAGCATCCATTTGTGGTGGCTTGTTAATAAGCAGTTCATGGTCTAGCACCTGCATCTTATGACTTTATACTTCCTCATGTATTGTTTAATGCTAACCCATGGTCCTGACCCTCGATCAGCTCCACTGAACCTCCATTCCTTTCCAATGACTGGGGAGTTCCAGCTTAGGTTTAATCACAATGTATGTGCCTGCCCTAGTTTTAGTTCAGAACCACTTCCTTAGCTTTTGTTCCCCAGCTACCTGTGTTCCTTCCAGAACATGTTCTTGCTCTGCGTTCTGCCATTTTTGGAGGGGCCTCGCCCTTTGGAACTGATACTCTGAATTCCTCAACTGTGACCATAATCCCTTCATGCCTTGGACTGACTCCATCCTGTCACTAACCGGCCTTTGCTCCTTTGATGGATAAACATTCTTTTCAGTCAGGCCTGCCCTCTGAACATGCGCCAGAGCTTCCACTTCCTCCTAGCTCTTGAGAACCCAGGCAGACCTGTCTTCAGACTGGAGAGACAGCTCCTAGGCACACCTGTGCAGCCTGAGGACTGTCACCAGAAGAGGGGTGTCCTTTGAGAATCAAGTCAATGGATTTGTTTTAAATACCACATACAGAAACCCAGTGCAGATGAAGAATTAAAACCATCTTGTGAATTTTCACAACAGCCAGACTTGATCTAATATTAACATCTTAGCCCAAAAGGAATACCACATGATTTCCATTCAATTTGCATGCAGACAGTGAACATGACCTGAGTGAGCTGGATGGGATATTTTAAAGAGGGAAGAGAGCATCCTCAGCTAAAAGAGATTCTGGCTCTAGTGCCTTCGTCTAAATAAGATTTTGTTTACAAGACCATTTTTACATGCATTTCTTTTATTAACGTGTTCCCTATAAACACACACGTAGGCATGGATACAAAACACTCCACCACAACAAGTAGCTCAACCATCCCTTCTTATATATATGGTTACCATTTGCTGAACTCCTGTGTGCCAGGCCCTGGGAATTGTGAGAGCAATTATTTTTGGTTCCTGTCCTCAAAGAGTCATGGTCTGATGGAAGAAGCACTTGAGCCAACAGAAAATAACAATAACAATAGGCCATGGGCTGTATTCGCTGGCCACCGTCTGCCCTGATGGACTTCCCTTGCGAGGCAGCTACCTATGATCTTGTGTACATTTAAATGTTTATTTGGGGAAGTGCTTATTTCAGACATGTAAAACATGACAATAACTGTTATATCGCTCTCATTTACAGTCTTGCGCCACCTGTTCTCATAAAGCTGTTGGTCAGACGAACTGGCCCAGTGAAGTACTTTTCACAGAGGATCTTTTGTTAGAAATTTAGCAATTTGCAGTAATGTTTATCCAACACTCAATGATACTCGCTTCATCCAGGCAAGGTGGCGCGTGTTTGTGATCCCAGCTACTCTGCAGCCTAAGGCAGAACTGCAAGTTCAAGACCAGCCTTGGCAACTTAGTGAGACCCTATCTCAAAACAAACAAACAAACAAATAGAGAAAAACAACAAAAAACTCACTTGTGGGGAAAAGTCACAGAATCTTTGTGTGTGTGTGTGTGTGTGTGTGTGTGTGCCAGGGGTTGAACCCAGGGACGCTTAACCACTGAGCCACATCCTCAACCCTTTTTATATTTTATTTAGAAACAAGGTTTTGCTGAGTTGCTAAGGGCCTCACTAGGTTGCTGAGACTGGCTTTGAACTCCTGTTTCAGCCTCCCCAGCAGCTGGGATTACAGGTGTGTGCCACGGTGCCCCAAATAGAATCTTTTAAAAAACTGGTGAAAACTTTTCCCTAAGAAAATGCTCATTTACTTCCAATTTCAGGAGGTCAGGGAGTGTCTGAAGCCAACCCATGGACTTCTGAATCCCAGAGGAAGAACTTGTGCACCCTGGAACATCATATGTGTCAAGTAGTGTGATCCATGACCTGTCAAGTTTTTCTACAAAGCATCAGACATCTGTAAGTGTGTGTATTAGGCCTCATGAGCAACAAGTTCTGTTGCAATTATTCAACTTCACTGTAGTAGTGAGAAAGTAGCCATAAACAAATTTATGAATGGACATGGCTGGGTTCCTATGAAACTTCATTCACCAAAACAGGCACTGGGCGAGATCTGCCCACGGGCTGGGTGCAATGACCCCTGACCTTAAGAAGGAACTACGAAGTAGAAAATTCTCAAGATTCTTAGGAAAATTCCTGCCCATCAGTTCATTAGTCCAGAGGCGGACACCCCACCTAACCTTGGCCAATCATTACCCTTCCCAGGACTTTCTCAAACTAGATCTGAAAAGAAGACAGTCCTACAATGAAGATGAAGGCCAAAAGAAATGAAACTCAGGAGTCGCTCCTGATCACACTTCCTGTCACATGAAGGAAGCCAGTTTGAAGACAGAATGGGGTACCTTGAAATCTGGACTCTGGGTCATAAAACAGTATAGACCCCACTGAATGATCAGGGAAGCTGGGACAATGTGGATGACGCAGGGGTTCAGTGTAGCACAAGGACTCTGAGGTCTTGGGAGTTTGTCTATGTGAAGATGTGCTAGAAATACTTAGTTATCCATTACTAAGCCTTAGCCTGAGCTCTTGAATATGCTGGCATTATCTCCAAACCCACCATCTTTGTCTATTCTTCCAGGATCTCTTCCTTGGTTTCTCCCCATTCTGGACTCCCTTAATCCAATCCAGAGTGAGCTTTTCAAAATTCACTTACAATTTTAGGGTCAAATCCTAGATCACTACACTGACTTAAAGCCTTGCACAGCCGGTTCCTCCATCTCTGCCCACTGGGTTTCTGCCCCTTTCTCTGTCACTAACATTCAGCCCTCAAGCTTCAGAGAGAGACACAACCTTGGCCCCCTTCTCACAGGGGTCTAGTTTCCTCTGTCCTTTGGTCTTCAGCTTTCAGCTCAAATTCCACTTCAAAGGCGTCTTCCTCGTGTCCTGAATCTACCACAAGTTCTCTGTCACTTGACATCAGGAAAAGCCTGGCATATTCAAATCAGGATGATTTGAGGCAAATTTAAGACAGGACTCCTTACAGACATGAGGGCAGGTATAGGGGAACCAAAAGGGACAGCGCATAACTCCAGGACTGATGTCACTCCTAAGCCTTACCTTAAGGAATAAGGAAGGGACCCAAACCCAGACAGCAAAAGGCATGGAGAGGGGGCCTCCTGGGAGGGAGCTGTGGCCGCAGTCCTGCATTTTCAGTGAGCCTGAGCTGGTCCCACAGGGGTGGGGGAGCTGGGGAAGGGTGTCCTGGGCATCTCTGCCCTCTCGTTTCCAATGACTGAGCCCCATCAGGAGTCCAAGGGCAAGGGATGACATATTCATGTCCATCAGCCTCTCTGGGAGAAGGATGGAGAAGGAGGAGGGTGGATCCAAAGGGGCGGGGAGAAGATGTCTGGACAGATTCCCTGGTGACTTCCAAAAGGACATCTCACTGTGTAATCCTCCTCCCGGCTGAGGGACTGAGTCACATCTCCCCCCATCCTCTGCGACTCTAGGCTCCGTAGGGAAGGCCGTCCTGTCAATCTTCTTCACAAACACTAGATTCTCAATGAATGAATGAATGAATGAACAAATAGATGGCTGTTCATAGGAAGGCTAAGGCTAAGGCTAAGGCATTCAAATGGGAGCAAAACCACTGAAAACCCAGGAGTTCTCTGAGGGAGACCTTGTAGGGTTCAGGTGAGAAGAGAGGGATGGGAGGAATCACAGAACCTTGAAAAGGCAAACTAGCTGAGGATGAGGTGAGCATTGTGTTTGCCAGACATTTCTCCTCCTCCCACTCCCCAAAGTGCTCCCCAGGGGATGATTACATTACAGAAACATCTGGAGTAGGATCTCATCTCTTTCAAAAGCAAAAGAAAAAGCAAAGCATAAACAAATACTGTATTTTCCTCTCACCTCAATCCAGGCTTATTTGGAGACATGTAGCAAGCACGCATACAGATGGGAAATAATTTTTCTTTCTTCATTTGCTCGTATCTTTTGTCAGGAAATCCATAAAATGGAGATGATCCCTCTCCTGCCAAGTGCTCAGTGCTCCAAGAAATCTCAAAAGCATTAACTTCTTTATACTCATTTAAATATAGTTTGTACATTCTCTCTAGAACTGAATGTCTTCCTGGCTTGGCAGTATTTTCCCTCAGGTTAAGAAAATATTAATGTCGTGGCACTTTAGGACCATTTTCTAGACGTTGCCTCAGTAGCTATGACAGAGTGTTCAATCCTGGAGGTACAAATCCAGGCATCAGGTGTCAAGTTCAAATGTGACATATAACTAGTCACAGCCTAGCTAGTTGACAACAAAGAAGTCTGTGTACTTCTTCTCTCTCTATTCTGTTATCAGCTTCACTATTTTATGATTTCACGCTGAATAAATGTTTATTGAACTCCCGCAGTGTTGCAAATTTTATGCTGGGTACAAAGGAGCAAGACACGGTCCCAGTTTACTAGAAAGGATAGAGAGTGAAGCATGGGTTAGAGGTGAGCCCAGGGAACCTTGTACAATGGGGAGAACAGTTTGGGAAGGCAAGTCACAAAAGGGTTATTACTGAAGGATGAGAATGAGGCAACAAGAGAACAGATGGAAGAGTATTCTAGAAAGAACAGCATGCACCATAGTAGAAGTTGTGAGGGAGCTTGGGGTACTCCTCGTAGCACAAAATGATGAGACTGTAGTCAGTTGCTGAAGAAAGCAGGATGCTTGGATGGAAAACTAAGGAGTGCTGAAGGCCCTGGGGATCTATCGAAAGATTTTCAGCTAGACCAATAGTGGACTTGCATTTTACAAAGATCACAGTGGCAAGTGGGTGCAGAATGGATTGGTGGGGAATAGAGGGGCCCTGAAGATTAGTTAGGAGCTTGTTGCTGTGTTATAGGCAAGGCATGGTGGTGTTATTCTGGAAATTTAGTACATAGGTGTATGGAAATATATACAAGAAACACAGAACCTTCCCCTTGACAATATCTGTTTCCCATTGTGTCAAAATAAGGTTGTAATTCAAGGGGAACAGAATATGCCACCTCCAAATACATCACTTTAGCATACTGATCACTTTGAGCTGAAGGCAAATGAGGTACAGTAGACTCAGGAAGGGCTGTCTAACCTCCCACTTCCTTCCTAGAAGCAGGGCATGTATTTCTCCTGACAAAGATGCTTTCTTTGTATTGAGAAGAGAATATTCTTATCACCTAAGATGGGGATTTGACACTTAAACGAATCTGTGTAAACAAACCTTACTAACATTTGCTAATCACTATCCCACAATTTGCTGCCTCCAACCTAAGCCCCATTTCCCTCTGCCTTATCGTAACTCCACTGTTTATCTGTCTTTGTTAAGAAGGTATATAAGCTTGAGGATCTAGCCCTTTTTTGGACCTTCAGTTCTTTTCTCCTGCTAATCTGTTTTTAGTCAATTTGATTCAGAGGCTCCAGTCCCAGAACCTAGGAGAGTAGAGGAGTCTTTCCTTCCCTACATAATGTACAGAAATCTCCTGAGAAGACATCTCATTTATATTATTCTTTGAAAGGGAAGCATTCTAGTGATGCCTCAAGGATTTTATACTCTAATAATAAACATTTTAAATTATTTGTGTGTGTCCCATGTATTACGTTGAATTTAAATGGTTACTCAGTATCTCTGTGTACCATACTGAGTTGGATGTGTAAGGATAAATAAATATAAGGCCTGGTACCCCAAAATTAGGCTCAGATATGAATTGGCATCGTCAGAAGAAATAGAAATTTCTCCCTCCCACCACAAAAAAGCTTGACCTTGTATGTAACTACAGAAACGTAAATTAAAGTAACTATACACCACTGAGACTTAGCAGCTTAGCAGACGTTCTAAAGACTGATAAAACTTGGTGAGGGAAAGGTAGGGAGAGGATCTGCTACATACACTGTGGGCAGAAGTATAAACCAGTGAACAATTCAATAATATCCATCAAAATGACCTTTGAGCAGCAATTCTACTGCTAGAAGTTCATTATGCACACTTCCTAGCCCAACCTTAGGCAAATATGTGAACAAGGATATTTATCACAACACTATTTACAGTAACCGAAAAAACTGGAGATTACCTAAATGTCAATCTCAGAGAACTGGATAAATAAACCATGGTATGTCCAAACAATGGAATAACTTCCAGCAGCTGATGGAAAATGTAAGTCAGTTGATAGGTATAAATTCAGAAAGATCCAAGATCTATTTGGTAAAAATTTAAAGTGAATTGAAGAACAATATAATCATATCCTTTTTATATAGAAAAATATGTATATAACATATATTTGCTAAAGAAAGATTCTGATGAGTGTCTAAGAAACCTGGGTGAATTTTGTTTTTGCACTAAATTTTTTTTTCTGCCCTGACAATTCTTTTTTTTTTTTTTGACTAGGAAAGTGCCCTACCACTGAGCTACACTCCCAGCCTTAGAAACTCTCTTTTTCTTTAAAGAGTGGAGTCTTTCTCTTCAGGAGATTCCAATAATGAGATCTGCAATAAGACTTCTGAAACACATCTTCAAAATACCTGCAACAAGTATTTTGGGTAATAAATGGTTACTGGACATAGATGCTAGATTGATTCCTCTTACAGTGAGGAGGAAAGAAGAAAACAGGTTCTTTTCTTCATGCCAATTTGCTCATATAAGCTGTTCCTAGCAGCCCCCCTCCCACTGGAAATATAACTCCAACAATGACAGCAGAACATTCTGGATCTTTGAGAATTTTGGTAATGTTCCTGGAAATTGTCAAGATTTTATTTACATAAATGAAAACGGCTTTATCTAATGCTATAGATAAGACTGAAAAATAGTTTTCTTCTTTTTTTTGTGGTGGGGAGGTGGTACTGGGGATTGAACTTGGGAGTACATGACCACTGAGCCCCATCCCCAGCCCTGTTTTGTATTTATTTAGAGACAGGGTCTCACTTAATTGCTTAGTGCCTTGCTTTTGCTGAGGCTGGCTTTGAACTTGCAATCCTCCTGCCTCAGCCTCCAGAACCACTGGGACGTGTTCATGAATCTGGTTCCCCAGCTGAACTCTATGGTGCCAAGTCTGACAAGTGAATGACACAACTTAAACTGTGTGCAGGGGTGCACACCTGTAATCCCAATGACTTGGGAGGCTGAGTCAAGGTTCAAGGCCAGCCTCAGCCATTTAGCAAGATCTGCTCTCAAAATAAAAACTAAAAAAAGCTAGGAATGTTGCTCAGTGGTAGAGCACCCCTGCATTCAATCCCCAGTTCCCCTGCCCGGGGAGGGGGTGGGGTGGGATGGGGGGAGAAACAATATAACTTGACAAAGAATGGTTACCATGGGAAAGTTGAAATCTGCCTTACAATGGAGGGGAAAGCCAGGCTTGCTCAGAGGGAGGGAGCACAGACTTTTTTCATCTCAGAGATGTATTCTTGTGAGTATGTGAAAAGAAGCTTAATATTATGTTTTAATTTGCTTTTCAAAGGATCTTTCTTTTTTCCTTATTTTTTCTAGCTGCTGGAGGACAAAAGGTCTCAGCCTCACCGAAAACCAGGCAGTGACTCACTCACCCTCTACCTTTCACTGGAGGAGAATCATTTTAGGGTGAAAATTCTCAAGGAAGTCAGTTTATCTCCTCAAAACAGAAAGGACTAATCAAGCATTGTCTGATTAATTAGAGACTCTTGGAAAAAAAGTGCTATCAAGGCCTACAGCTGCAATCAATTTAATCAACATGCAAAGAGCCAATCATTGGTTTTCTTGATTAACAAAGCTGAATGTTAAACAGAGAAGTGTGACATTGTCGTGCCATTAGCTACAGCTACAAATTGAGAATTTCCCCTAAATATTCAAAGTCAGGCCAGGATAAAGTGAAAGCTTTTTCATATTCAATTTCTTAACGTTGAACCCTATAAGCATGGCCATTTCAATTCTTCCCCTTGATAGTTCATGTAGGAAAAATAATTTTCATCCAAAGAGCAGAGATGAGCGGTGACGTCAGGAAGCTCCAAGACACTGCCCCACTCCCCACAAAAAACCCACAAAAAACCACACACACACACACAAAAAAAACCCCACTCCCGGCCACACAGGTCCCAGTAAAATTTACCACGTGTAATAGTGCTAGTAGTTATTGTCATTTGAAATTACAGAAAGAAAAAGACTTGTTCCCAAGCAGCTTTATGTAACACTTTTTTGAAGATGACTGGAGTTAAGGACTTTGTAACTTTTAAGTCATTAGCAAATCAAGAGCAGAAAACTTTGCCGCCTTTTTGAACTTTAACTAGAGGATAATTGCCTTAAAATTAGAATACAAAATAAAATCATCTAGACCTTTCTGTGAAATGATGGAACTTAATGTTGCAGAAAGAGTAGGTGGAGTTTAATTTAATGCTTTAATTTAGCTTTCTGGGCTTTTGTAAAGAATAACTACAGGGTATCATTTTCATCATTAAGTGTGTCAGAATAATAAGATACCATATTTATGTACTGATTTCCATTTTCTTTTCAAAGTTTGGTTATACTTTTATGTTCAGTAGTCAAATAAAACAAATGATATGCTAAAAAGTAGGCTCTGTGAGGTGAATGACAATTTAATTTCTTCCCAGTGTTGGCTGGCTACACAAGAAAATAAAGAACTGGGGGAAAGTTGACAGGATATTTAGTTGACTAGATTTATTTCCCAGCAGTTGCAGGGTATGTTAATTGTAACTTTTCAGTTAATGAAAAATATTGTGATAGAACACTGATGTGGGTGATAAACGGACTTTAAACACATAGACGGTAAAATCCTATTTCTAAAACTCTGGGAGGAAATAATCAGAACTCTTTTGTTGGTTAAACCATTATTTTTTTTGGTACAGAGGATTGACGTCGAGGCACTCCACCACTGAGCCACATCCCCAGCCCTTTTTTTATATTTTATTTAGAGACAGGGTCTCACTGAGTTGCTCAGCACCACGATTTTGCTGAGGCTGGCTTTGAACTCGTTATCCTCCTGCCTCAGCCTACTAAGCCACTGAGATTACAGGGGTTGGACCAGTCTGGTAAGCAAAATTGGGCTTGCCAAGGGAGGGCAGTAACTCTCCCTAGTCAGTAAGCTACCATCATCATTGTTATTATTCACAGAATTACTCCAGCTGCTATTCAACTTAAATATGGTCCTCATTCTACGGAAAGCTTACAGGAAGAATTGTAAGAATGGTAGAAAGACAAAGAAATCTTGCAATATCAGAAAGAGCAAACCGGCAGACTAAGAATCTCACTGATGATTACCACTAATAAACTCTTTGACTGAAGTGTAACAAACACGTAGAAAACTGCACAAATATATAACTCAGTGAATGTCCCCAAGGTGAACAGTAATCACCACCTGGGTCAGAGGACAGATACTTTCCTTCCTCCTAATGGTCACGCTCTCCTCTCCCCACATCCATTTGCCTGTGATTGAATTTATTGGAATGGAATCCTATAGTACATATTCCTCAGACGTCTAGCTTCTTTCTGGAATATTATAGTTGTGAAAATCATCCGTGTGTTGGAGTGCATGTAGTATTCCATTGAGTAAATAGAACACAAGCCACTCATCCCTTCTACTACCGAAAAGAAAATGGATCGCTTCTAGAATGGGGCTATGGAGGCTGTGTTATCTCCCCTCAAAGGGGAGATTAATAACAATGATATTTTAGGAGGTTCTTCTTTGGCCAGGTAAGGAAGTGTGGATGAGATTTCTTTTTGTGTTTCCTGTAGGTCAAATGCTTTCACTTTAAAATATCTTTTTTTTTTTTTTTGGTACCAGGCATTGAACTCAGGGGCACTTGACCACTGAGCCACACCCCTAGCCCTATTTTATTTAGAGACAGGGTCTTACTGAGTTGCTTAGGGTCTCCCTGTTGCTGAGTCTGGCTTTAAACTTGTGATCCTCCTGCCTCAGCCTCCTGAGCTGCTGGGATTATATTTTGTGCCACTGCACCCGGCCCTACTTTAAAATATCTTAATATTACCGGGCATGGTGGTGCACACCTGTAATCCCAGTGACTTGGGAGGTTTAGGCAGGAGGATTGCAAGTTTGAGGCCAATCTCAGCAATTTAACAAGACCCTGTCTCAAAATGTAAAATAAAAAGGGCTGGGGATGTGGCTCAGTGGTTAAGAGTCCCTGGGTTCAATCGCTGGTATCAAACAAAGCAAAAAAAAAAAAAAAATCAAAACTCAAAAAAACAACATCAACTAATCGTAATTCCAATTCTGGGTCTTAGGTGGGTCCTTACAGTTTTTACATGACTTTGGAAGCCATCTATGGGTTATGCATCTAGGAGAGTAGTGGTTGGAGAAAAGGATATGGTCTGCTTAGCTTGTATAGATGCCACCTAAACAGTTTCCCAAAGTAGTCACATCAATTGTACTAGCAGTTGTTAGTTAGTCTATGTCCTCATCAAAATTGGTATTTTATATCCTAGCCATTGTGAAGGCATGTAGTGGAATTCCAGTATATTTTTGATTTGCATTTCTGTGACGTCTAATGAATCTGTGCACACTGTCATCTGCTCACTGGCCATTTGAATATATACTTTCATGAAGTGACTCTTAAGTTACCTGGCTGTTTATCCTTTTGGGTTTCTTCTGTATTCTGGATGTGAGTCTTTCTTGTGATGCAAGTATCTCCTTCTATTTTGTGATACACCTCTTTACTTCCTTGAGTTGAGTGGTGTCTTTTCATTTCTTCCTGATTTTAATATGGTCTAATTTATCCATATTTTCCTTTGAAATTTAAGACCTGATTAAGAAATCTTTTCCTACCCCAAGGTCATGAGTCTATTCTTCAATGTTTAATTCTATTGCCTGGGATGACAGTCATGGTCACCTTCAGCCACAAGGAGCTTCTGAGCACCTGAACTGGGGTTAGTGCGGGCTGAGATGGCTTGCAACTGTAAAACACACACTGGATTTCAAGGACTTAATATTTTAAAATGTAAAATAACTCGTTAGAAATATTAACCTTAATTATGAAGGGACCAACAAACCACCAGAATGGTGTAGAGACTGCTTTACATTGGAAAGCTGAGAACAAACAGCAGATACAGAAATCAATGTCATCTGAGCATCCGTTATCTGACTAAAGCAGAGCCTTTTCTGAGCTGCTACCTGCCCTTGTCTCAGGTGTCCTGGGAAGTCTCCAGCTCAGGGACAACTGACCATCAATGTGTGGACATTCCAAGGAATTGTGTAAATAGGCCTTATCAGGAGGTCCCGTCCTGTCGCACTGAAGACCTCTGCTCCTTCCCTTATGAAGCTGACATATTGAGCTTTCTCATGGCTGTTTGGAGAGCCGCTCTTTCCAGAATGCACCTAAATGCACATGTCATGAGCTACTTCTGTTGATTTTTCTGTAGCCAGTTAATTCGAAGACCCCCATCACTTGAATCTAAGTTGATGGAGGAAAAGTTCTTCCAACAATTACCCATTGAAATGATGATATTTTGGATATGCTGGTGTTAAGTGAAATAATGTTTCTAAAGTTTATTTTACCCATTGTTTGCAATTAAAGTGTTTACTAGAAAAATAAAAAATTCCATTAATGGCTTACAATTACTCTATTTTGACTGGACAGCTGCTCTAGGTGGCCTTTTCTTCCTCCAGATGGGATCCCCATGCTTTTGGCAATCATGGTGGGATCTGAGTCCCCTCACCCTGTTGTCCATTAGGATGACCCAGAGTGGGTCTTCGATTCCCTAGAGAGATGGTCTATTTCCGGTTCACTCTTTCACCTGAGGTGGAGTATTTTGAAACTCACCATGGCGCCCTCTTTTCATGGGCTCTGACCTCCAATCTGTGTCCTCCAAGGTCAAGTGGTGTCAAAGACTGCTCAGCCCTTGAGCCCCTCAGCTGCTGCTTTCTGAAGTGGCATTTTTCTTGAGCTCAGTGGCATGATGGGCACGGCTACCTCCCCTGGCTTTCCTTCTCTTGGATCAAAGCCCCATAATTCCTCATGGCCTTGGAAACTCTCCAGTGGCATCAATCCAATGCTGTTCATGTTTTCTCTGGCTTTTCTGGATGTTCTCAGAGGGCAGTTCATTGTTAAACAACCGAGTCTGCCATGGCTAAAGGCAGAAATCATTGCTATTTAATTAAAACTTGTACCATGGTTGTCATTTGATGTAAGATTTTCATCAGTTGAAGTGGGGGCATGAGTCAGGGTTGTGTACAAGGAACGGTCCCCAATCTCACTGCAGTCAGGGATGATTCGCAGAAGAGGGAAGCTGCCTTTTAGAGTCGGAGATGGTCGCAGAATAACTCCAGGGTTAGGGAGTATCAGGTAAGGATAGGAACAGATTGTTGAAAACCTTTCTGGTTAAGTGGATAATGAAAATCTTAAGAAGACCAATGAGTTATACATCATATGCTGATTCTGACTGGGAGCACAGCCTGGAGTGCATTATTGAGAAGGAATTTAAGTTCACATGGACACTCAGTGGGCAAGAGGATTGTGGTCCATCAGCCATGTCTGTCATGGACAACGGAGATGGGAGATAGTTGCACATGAGTGTGAATCAGATCTCAGGGATAACATGCTAGTGAATGAATTTTTATGCATCGAATACATGCTTATCACTGGATTGTTTGCATATTAAAATAATTTAGATTAATCAGATCACCTTAAAGTGATGATTTTTAATGGAGGGCCAAAGAGTTCCATCTTCAGCTGTGCTCTATCTAAGCTGTGATACAGGGCCTCTGGGTACAGCGGGTATACTTTTCAAATTTTTGGAAGACATTGAGTGACAGAAAGAACAGGTTGCATGACAGAATTGAGACAGAATAAACTTGATAGTCAAGAAAAATGGTTTAGATACCAGTATGGATTTCACAAGTATTTACCAAGATCCTGTTTTGTGACAGGTTCTTGCAGAAAATGCAATGGTAAGGAAAAAACAGAGTTCCTATCCTCTTAATGCTTCTCGTGTGGAGAGTGGGGCAAACATCCATCAGGTAATCACACAATGATGTACAAATGCTAGGGAGTCCAGTGTGCAGAGAGAACACAGGAACTCAAGGGTTCCCTACAGGAAGTGATGCTTGGGAGGAAATCTAATGGATGAACAGGAAGAGACAAAATGGTGGAGCCGGGGGAGGTGTTCTAGAATGGTGGAACAGTGGGAAAAGGTAGGCAGGTTTGAGAAAAGGAAAGGAGGCTAAGTGTGCTAATATGTAAATCTCCAGACAGAAAATGGTGCAAAATAAGGCTGGACCAGTAACACGAGCCAAGCCACTCCAGCCTTGCGGGCCAATGAAAAGTTTTTGGTCTTTATCCTATAAGTAATGGGAACCCATTGAAAGATTTTTGCTGTGGTTTGGATGTGAGGTGTCCCTCAAAAGCTCATGTTTGAGACAATGTGAGAAGGTTCAGAGGAGAAACGATTGGGTTATGAGAGCCTTAATCCAACCAGTGAGTTGATCCCTTGATGGAATTAACTGAGTGGTGACTGGAGGCAGATGGGTGTGGCTGGAGGAGGTGGCATTGGGGTCTCTATTTGTAACTGGAGAGTGGAGTCTCTCTCTGTTTCCTGATCATGTGAGCCACTTCCCTCTGCCACACTCTTCTGCTGTGATGTTTAGTTTCACCTGGAGCCCCCCAGCAAGGAGCCTGATCTCTATGACCTCTGAAATGGTGAGTCCTCAAATAAACTCTTCCTCCTCTACAATTGTGCTGGTCAGGTCTTGAAGTCACAGCAGCAAAAAAGCTGACTAACTCATTTTCACATGGGGGTGTCAGAGCTAGTTCTGTGCTTAGAAAGGCCACTTTGGCTGCCCCCTGGGGAATGTGTAGGGGTTGTGGTGAAAAGCACATGTGGATGCAGGGAGGCTGCTTATAAGGCTACAGCAATAGCCAGGAGAAAGGTGGCCAAAGCCAAGGGTAAGGCATGAGCAAGGGATGGGAACTAAAACCTTGAGTGTACACTAATATACACAGTGTCCTGGTCCACAGTCTGACTTGTCCTAACTGTTTGGATTGCACCTGGATTATTTAGTTCAACTTAGAAAATCCCAGTTTGATAGACCTCAGAGTGCTCCAAGGAAGGTGATCAGGACTATGCCAGGACCAGGAATATGTGGACTTGAGGGCGGAGAGAAAACAGGAGACTGGAGGGGAAAATGGAATGATTCAGAAGTGCTGTTAACAATTTAAAGGAGGGGGTTGTTCAGTGGTTAAGCACCTTGGGCTCAATCTTTGGTATTAAAAAAAGAGAAAAAATTAAAGGGGCATCATGCAAAAGAATAAAGTAATGATTCAACTTATCACTCTGGAAAGAGATCTAGTATCTGTGCAGAGAAGTCATAGGTCAGCTCAGCATAAGGGAGGTTCGGTGGTTGGACTGTTTGACACTGGAATGCTGGGTGAGCACCGAGCCTGCTCCCTGGCAAAGATACACAGAGTCTGGAGAGATGCTGGCTTAGCTTATCTCCAAACCTCTTCAAATTCTCTCAAGATTTTTGGGTCCCATCAAAGTGTGGTTTTTCCTGGGAAAGACTTGTTTTTAATATGACTATGGATATCTCTACCACCACTACCACTTAATGAAAATACTTATGCAAAACTATTTACTGGTATCATCTCAGTTAATTCTTGTAATAATCTGATGAGGTAGGTTGCCAAGTACAACCTATATTTTAATTTTGTTTTGTTGCATTACTAGGGATTGAACCCATGGGTGCTTTGCCATGGAGCTACAAACCCAGCCTTTTTAATATTT